GGGGCGGCCATTTTCATCCTGATAAAGCAAAAAAATTTGTGATATCATACCATATAATCTTATATATCTACAAAAGAGTTGCTTCATATATGCCTAAAAGCTTGCAAAATTTAAAGCATTGCAGCATGATTTACAGCACGTTGAAGTCAATAGCTTGGCTTTTTTTTTGAGCCACCCTGTATAATTCTTCATCCCTCTTGGACAGAAAGCCAGCTCGCTAACTTTTCGACAAACCTTTAGCTCGATGCATGGGCATCTGCATGTATCAGTGCGAGCGAGTCAGCCGATTCCGCGAAGATAGGAACTACGCAACACGTTTCGCCCTATGAGGTGCCGCATTCTGAAGTGGGTTCAGGTTGATTTTAATCTTTGTCCGTCACACATCCGTGATGAGTCATCGTGGGATCATTCTGTTATCATTTGTGCTGGCTTTGCCGGCTTTGAACCTCTGCGCTCAATAACCGTTGCGCTAACCCAGCAGGAGAGACAGACACGACGTGAAGAAAGTCGCCGTATTGCGTTATCTTTACCGGAGACTCGGATTAGAGGACGGTAAACCGTTTAAATTCACGGTCCACGGCTGTGGATCCGTATCTCATTACTGGTGACTGTTCTATGATCCGAATTAACGTTGTACGCTTGTAGGGCGAACCTGGCCTTAGGGACCCTTGGACGCGATCCGCGATCGAGCTTTCAGAATACTCGAGTCACGAGTAGAGCTTACTCTACAGAGTAGAGTTGATGAGACGTTCTCAAGTCTTTTGCCTCCATGAGGGGCATAGGCATGTACTGTCACATGATCCGAATGCAAAAAGAAGTAACTAACCTGACTGAATGATTTTCTAGATGCTGTTGATTCTTTACACATTACATTCACAGTTCATCCTGTTTACTCTGGATCAGATTAACGTGGCAGTTACGTAAGAACCTGTCTTTTTGTTTTGTTTTTTGTGCCTCCGCCCTGTTGGTTTCGAAGGACATCAGGACGAAGGTTCTTATCAACAAATCCAGTCAGGCCCTTAATTAAATTTGGGTGGGGAAAGCAGAACTAGTACCCAAAACTTTGTGGTTTTGGACCATTTCTCCGAACACTTAGCTTTTCCATGTTGACCTTTCTTACGTGTATCAGATGCGGTATGCCCTCCTGCAGACATGATGACATTAACGTGATAGATTCCTCCGGTAGCTTCAGTGGAAGTAGTCTAGCTGAAGGTGAAGCACAGTCCGTAACCTGAATTACCTTCCGGAGATACAGGATTCTTTCCACCCTCGGGAAATCCGAGAGGGGAATCCCTGCCGTAGGCAAGGTCCTCGCTCACCTTCTCGCCCCCTCCCTCCCCTTGTCTCATTCGTTGCTAATCCCTCCTTGTCCTCGACGCTCATGCCTGGGTATTGACACGTTTTTCCGTGTTCGTCGCCGAGTGTCGTCCGGATAGCGAAAGGCTATGGCCACGGAACGTAGTAAAAAGAACCGTGCCAAATGCGGTGAAACGAAGGGATTCTCGTGGTCGAGGCTCAAGCGGATTTTTCGAACCCATTCCAAGTTGATGAACCTCTTCAGAAGTCGAAGAAATAATTCGAAGGTGAGTCGTCCATTTCCGCGATGGAATCCTCAGAAAGGCATGGTTGTAGGGCTTCTCTGTAGTAGGATGGGACGAATGTTAAGTGAGTTCGGGCTTGGCTTGTATTTTCGTTCGGTTACAGTTAGCCGTCATAAGATTAGTTTGTCTGAAAGAGGGTTATAGCTTCGGTTCGCATCCCTGTAATCCCTGAACCCTTAATAAGCTTGAAGCAAACTGTACCCTTGAGCAAAGTTGATTTATTATGAAAGTTGGCGCCTAATTTCTCAACTGCATTTGAATTTATATGCTATCCTTCCCCAAACAGCAATTTCCCCCATACTGAAAAAGCTCTTTGAGCAAGCAGACGTGTCTGGCATCGCCAAATACTATATTTCCTATTTCCTGACAATGCCAGCACTGATTCTTTTTCTCTTCGACATTACACGTTTGTCGTGACATGCGCAGACGCCAAGTAACAAGGTTAGGACTGCTCGGGACGTCCCTTCTCGCTCTGCTACATCGTGTGCCAAATTCAAGTTGTTGAATGCCATACACACCGCGATAGATCCACAGCGACGACTCCAACTTTAAAGCCCAAGAGTTGAATATTTTTTTTTACTGCGATTCTTTGCTATCAGCCAATGCCACAAATGAAAAAAAGTAGTTTCCCATCGTTTCGATGCCTGCAGGTAAAACCCTCGACCGTGTGGGGGAGAAGAGCCCCATCTTCAATTCAGGCTATACAAATGCAGGTGTAGTTCCCTGAATTGTTGGATAAGGAGCCCCCACCTCGGTGATGTCATTCAAGAATTTTCCATGTCATCTTTCTAGGTTTCACTCTCTGGTTTACTCCCGATTACAAATGTCCATTTCTCGTAACACAGTCGCCTTCCTTCTTGGAAGCGAGATGGACCGATATGGCAGCATCGAAGAGGCCATTAACTCTGAAAACTGTCGCTGGTCTCTGTCGTTGGTCTGAATCGAGTCATTTTGCTTGGTGAGCCTCTTTGAAACCTCTGTCGCTACGAAGGGGAAGAAAAAAAGGCATTGTGGCGTACCGCAGGTTATGTATAACCTGTTAAAAATCGTAAACATGTAGTAGCGAAACGATAACTTTCTTCTTCCCGTAGGAGAATTCAACAGTTAAGAGAAACGGGTGCATGGCTTAGTCGTAACAACTTGAGGTAGAGCATCTGGTCGGCGACCTGAGGTTCCGAATTTGACCCTCCTATGTCCTGGGAAGCCGAGCCTGGCACTCACATGACCTCATCGCACATGGCAAGCAATGGGATGGAGAGGGCGGGGGGGGGGGGGGGGAAGGAGCTTCAGGGTTTCAGCCCCCTAACTCTGGTCAAAATGCATCCGCCACCCCACTCCCCCTAAGGAGATGTCGGGGAAATTCTTTCTCTCCCCCCCCCCCCCCTCGGTTCCCTCTAGCCCAGGGCTTCCCAACCCAGGGGTCGCCAAGGTCATGTTTGGGGTCGCGAACCGGCAACTAAATGCCATGTTACGTTTTTTCTTTGCGATTTTAGCGCATAGGTGTGGGAGCCTGTCGAACTTCAGCCAGTGCTTGGGGTCCCGAACGGTACGGTCGTGATTTTTGGGGTCGCGCATGAAAAAGGTTGGGAAGCCCTGCTCTAGCCCCTTTGGCGAAATCCTGGCTATGCCACTGGTGGCAAAGCATCACGGGGCACAGGTGCCTGAAAATGCCTTCTGATAGCTTGTATCATTCACAAATCACATATCGAAATCACCCTTAGCGAATCGCACTCGGCGTGGAAGTCCTGGTAAGAATTATAGCGTCCCCTACATCGTTGTTGGCAGTATCTGACTCTTGCTTTTTTTGTCTTAATTCTCATATCGTCACGAACTTGTGCTCTGATATAGACCCAGCACATTCAGAACTCAGTTATGATGATGATGATGTAGTGATTCCTCTCATATTGAGGGATTACATTATGAAGAGACGACAGAATCGAAGAGGATGAGAGGAGGGTGGATTCTCGTCGGTAGGGTCGTTCTTCCTGGGAACTCACCACAGCCTCATCAGATTTGGGAGAGCGTGGACCTGCGTACAGGGCCATGTGACCAACTTCTAGAGAATGGACGCGCTGCTGACGTAGGCCCCAGCATTCAGAGCAGGAAGTAGATTTGGTCACCAAGATAGCAGTGTATTCGAACACGTGTTGTATATATCTATATCTTTAATACTTTTATCTTAAGGTATTTTGAATCTCTATCTCAAGCCCTTTTCAAGCTGAACGCTGTCCTTTATTCGAGATGCATGACCGATCTCGAAATCCGCAATCTAGTATATTGGTGGCATCATTTGAAAGTTGCGGCACTGTTCCAAAGGGCGAGATACCGTTCCACTTGAGGTATTATTATACTACTTATCATTGAGTTTGTGCTTTCGCTGTTTATCAATTAAATTGGTTAGTTATTTTGGAAGTAGTGGAGGAATGCTTGAGTGAGTCAACTTTCTTCATGCACAGTCTCTCCTTTCTTAGATATATCAGGGATATGTTGCGAGTTAGTGTGGAATATCATCCTTATCTCAGCTGTCACCTGACTCCACTCTTACGTCACATGTCTTGAATCTTGTTTCCCGTCACGTATCCAGTTATGGCTCTTTCGACATATCTTTGCTGTTCTTGTGAGCACCGTGCTTCGATTCAATTGTTTTACTATGCTCCAGCAAGCAGTAAGCATAGAGAATAGTTGGAAATTCGCGTTTTATCGCTGACGGAGAATGCTAATGACCATCTTGTTTTGCTGTTACACGTCGTGGGTCTGATGGTATCTTTTGGAGCCATTGACGCCTGTGGATGCGATCAGTTGGTATGAATGTCCCTGGACTGTAGAATGCCTGAATAGATCAATACTATATTGGGAACATTTTGGCCTTTAACGGGTAGGCGGGGAGTATCGACGGTGACGTCACGGAAGTCACGAGGCCTGGAGTCGAAACTGACGGTGAGACTCCCAGATGAGCGGTTGTCGTCCAGACATCCCATCAGTCTACCTCTTCCAATTCGATTCTTAGTCTGTTCAGCCTTTTCGGTTCCCTTCCTCTCCCTAGTAAGGGTACTCGTGGGTGAATTGTTCTCCTTCGAAATCTTCTGCCGATATATACGCAAAGGCTTCAAACGTAAATTATGATATTACAAGTGATATAAATTATCAACCAGATCTGCATGGTTGGACCCCGTGCATTATCTCATCGTATCTTAGTACGCCTTCGGAGTCTTGAGTCTCTTTACTATGTATATATAACAGGTGCCGTGAACGCGAGTGTCTCCTTTGTAGCAGCAATTGCGTTGCTGAAATATGCTTGTACTCTAATGACGTGAAATCGTGGATATCATGGCAATAGGGGTAAATTAGCGAAATAGAGTCCACCCATCGTATTATTCTGGTTGACATCACTCGCATTCCCTTTTAGTTCCAGTGGTCATCATGGGAAGCGTGAAATCCCCTTACGAAGAAGTGTCGGTGACGAAGGCTCGGTCTACTCGAAGTGATAGTGTCAGTTGTAGTGCGTTTCAGCTCATGAAAAGTGCGTATCACTTAGGAGCCATGTTCTCGAACGTCAGTAAGCCAACTGACAATCTGGAGCATACAGGGAATAAGTACCTGGATGAGACCTGCCTCTTTCTCATGAATCTCTGGACGAAAGAAGAGGTAACAATCTGAGCATTGCTATGCTATTCCCTCGAGACGATGGTCTCCCGAGTTTCCAATGGAGGCTGCAGCTAGGAGCCCCAAAACTTGGGTCTTGATACATAGATTTTATCGATTGACTGCCAACTCTTTTCCCATTGAAACTATTTAAATAAACACATGTCACGTTTTCTAAGTGTGACAAGCCCCATAAAAACCACAAGTAAAATAGAGATCTCTAATCCTGGTCTAGTCATGATGTATTTTATGATCTAGGAATCTCCACGTTAGGAATTCTGAACTAATGAAATTCAGCATCTTAATAGATGTCTGGTTTGTCTGCACTTGATGGAAGTTCAACTCTCAAGGTGCCTGCATCATTGCATGGATGCCGTTAAATATTTGCTTTCATTATGAGTTTACATTGAAAGTATAAAAGTATGAGGAGTTCAGTCCATGCTTGTGCTCTATCAGTGTTCACATTGGTATTCAGTTGAATGCACCAGAAGTCTTCTGTCGCCCCAATGCTTATGATGTTCATTGTTTTCATGTTTTGTTCATCAAGTTTAGGTTTGTGTGTTTAAAATTTGTTCCCGAGGATGTCATCTTTCGTAGGACTTCTCTGGTTTTTATTCTTAGCTTTTGTTCTCTGATTCTTGACATTCCATGATTTTTTTTGTTCAGTTATTGATGATAAAGACAACCATCCATGACTGGTAATGCTTTTGTGCCCTAGGTGGTTTCAGCGAGTGAAGATGAGGTCCACCAAGCCCTTTATGGGTCCAATACTGATGATGGGTTTATTCCTGACATGATAGGAGACTCAGAAATCATGGATCTCAAACGTCGCAAGCATCTCATTCGAGTCATACCTGCTCGTTGCCAAGGTTGCTTTATTTTTTTTAGTCATAAGTTATGTCAAATGTTAGGACTCTGAAAACCATTTCAAAGATGGAGAGTGTTTGACGACCTGATTTAATGAAATGGATTGTGTTAGCTGGTCAGATATAATGCCTTCCTGTTCTGATTGCAAAATGAAGGGCAATGACTGCGCCAGGTATATGCAAGACCTTGTGGGGTTTTCCTTCCCATGCCATGTCCAAGTGTAAGGGGTAAGATTGGTATCGCCCAGATATTCCCCATCCATCCTTCACCCCTTCCCAATTGATGTTATTTACATGTTGTTTACATGTTGGTAACCATAGGAAATTCAAGATTCTCCCATGCACATACATGGATTATTCATTGTCCTACTTAGCCCAGTAAAGTTTTGCAAAGGCAAAATTTTAAATCATCCAGATGTTAGTTTTATTAGAATATTATATTTTTTATTGTATAATGTTATTTATTATATTAATATACTACATTATATTATCTTAAAATATCTTGATTGAATCCTTTTTTTGATCTGCTGAAGTATGAACCATTTCAGGTCCATGATGTATACTTTCAGTAATGTGTCAAAGCAGTGTTGTAGGTGTCATTGTGTCAAACTATAAAACAGCTTCTCAGGCTCTTTCTCATTGCTGTTAACATAAACATGATGAAATTTCCTCCATAAAAGGATACCCATGGAGATTGGTGTACAGCACATCCAGAGATGGGTTCTCTCTATCAAACCTGTACAGGAAAATGGAAGGTGCAGATTCCAGTATTCTCTTGGTCATTGAAGACACAGGGCTCAATGTGAGTGTGGAGGATCTTGTTGCATGATTTCTGGATTTCCTTGATTTGCTTGGTGAGACTTCATAAGGTGCTCTGTGCTCTCTAGGTTTTTGGAGCTCTTCTCTCAGATCCACTTGTGGTGGCAGATCACTTTTATGGGACTGGAGAGAGCTTTCTCTATACTTTTGCTGCAGATAACTTTCAGATCTTCAAGTGGTCAGGTGACAATGATTTCTTCATTCGGTGTCACCCAGACAGCATTGCAGTTGGTGCTGGCGAGTGAGTTTTCTCTAATGCACTCCCTGTTCATCCTATGCATTTAAGTTATTGTTGGGGCTAAAATGAGGACTTTCATGTATCTTATAGTGGACACTTTGGTCTGCTTTTGGATGAAGACTTGAACAATGGAAGAACGGAATCTTGTCTCACATTTGCCAATGATCCTCTCTCTCCAAACAAGGATTTTGTTATCAAAACTCTGGAATGCTGGTCATTTGACTGAATGCTGCAAGACTCTTGAGAATTTTGGTATTGTTGGATTGAAGGTAGAGAAAGAAAATCAGGGACTCAAAAAATTTGAAGCTCAGGCATGCCAAGGAAAATAAGAAAACAAAAAGAATCATCTTTGGTGATGAATTGATGCCACGGAGAAGGGAAATCAGTTGTGTTTGGGTCACTATACCTATGTGATTTTCACACACTTTTCTTCATCCTGAGGTGGCAACAAGCAAGATGGGCACCATGGTCCTCTTTTTCACATACTTGATGGCTTCACGTCACGTCTCACAACATGGTGCTGGAATGAAATTTTTGTGGAGTTTTCAATTGGGGGAAATCCAGTCTCTCATGCATGAGACTTGTAGTCCTTTCGTTATTGTGTCATATTCTTGTTCATTTGTCATCATTTTTGGCTGCAAGATGAAATACATTTGTTGGGAGAGGTGTTAGTGGTCATGCAACAGTGCTTGATCCAGCTTATGATTGTCTTGCTTACTCTCTTTTTTTCTCTTTTAAAATGAGTCTCTGTGGGTGTTTGAGTGTGATTGAGACCTTGTTCTCCCTCATCTCCCCTGCTGTTGTCTCTCTCAATCTTGTACCATCCTGGCATCGGATACTTACATTTCTTGAATCAGTGTTCACTGTGGCATATGTCAAGAGATCTGCTATGGTAACTGTGTTCTGAAGCTTAATAGCATTCTTGTGAAAATTTTCTGTTAAGCCTTTCAAGAGGTGAGGGAAGGACAGGGTCATAATTAAGGTCTCGTTTTTCATCCATTCCCCAAAAGACATTCCACTTCTAAGAGTAGTTTATTATGGGCATAATGAAACTACGGCTTTTTTTCATTCCTGCCTTTTTTTCCCTAAGAGGCAATGTATTTTTTTTTTTACCTGTTTCTCCTCTTTTTTTTTTTCCTCTCTCTCAAACCATTCAGTACAAAACTTTCTATCCATGAAAGGTGCTTGAAAAAAGATTATAGCCGGTGTGAAACTCCTGATCCCTTTTCAGTTTGATTAAATCTTGTCCCACAAGATTCTGCATTGATGAATTTTCTCCCAATTTCCTATGGAAATTCAGCATGTGGCAGTCCTATGTAATGAGCTCTTGAAAAATAAGCTCACTAAGGTCCCTATATTCCTGTATGAACAAATGAGTCTTTTTGTAAGTGTGTTTCCACTGCCTGGTCCCAAGCTGTTTTTCTATGAATTTGGGTCAGTCCTTTCTTGAGTCAATGTTGGGGTATTTTTTTCATCATGGATGTGTTGCAGGCTTCCCTCTGTCCGTTTCTTGTTCTTAGTTGTGGTGAGACAGAGAAAATCAAAGGGACAGAGGAGGTTGAAGGCACATGCAGACACGCTTCTGTGGACCCAAGGCTTTTGCCAGACTGTGGTAGATTCTATGGATGTCACAATGGAGATGCAGTATATTCCAAGATCTAGAATAAAGTCGTAGTGTTTTTCAGGACCTTTGTCTTGCTCCTCAATTCACAACCTCACCTGAAGCCCTTCAAGGGCCAGGAATCTCCTTTATTCTTCCCCTTTCAGTTAGACATTTCAGAGCAGAATTCCTTGAGGCACCTCCATACAGGGTCGGACTGGCGACCTAGGGGCCCCTGCAACCCCGCAAACCCCCATAATGCAGACCAAGGGGTCCCACACCGGGTACAGGGGCTCTTTGGTCTGGGGGCCCCGTGGGAAATTTCCCGGTATCCCGGTGGGCCAGTCCGACCCTGCCTCCACGATTGGAGCTCAATTTCGTTTGTGTCATTAATGGAGGTCCTCTTGCCTCAAGCTTCACCAATGTTTACAAATTGTTTAACCAATTGTTTCACCAATGTTTACATTCACAAATGTTTAATGCACCTCACAAAATGACCTCGATATCTGGTTTTCGCGGGACTTAGCCACTTAAGTTTTTCAAGGAAGTATGCGAGTATGCGGCAATCAGAAAGTGTCATATAGGAGCATAGGAGTGGATGGCCAACAGAAGGCCTCTGCAAGAATCAGATGTTACTGGAGGGATCCTTTTCGGATTCAGCCGGATCTAGAGTGGTTGACTAGTAGGAAACAGTTCCATAACTGTTCAAGGTTGAATGGAAGGTTGGAGCCTGTTAGAACCTTGAACTAGCGGCTTACAAAACGTTTATGTTACGTTGGAAGGATGACGGTAATCTTCAAGGCCTGACGAGAAGAAAATAATGATCAACTATTAGTATCACTGGTACATAAATACTTGGAGTGATTTAACTTTCTCCTATGAGCATGAGGTTTCTGATCGTGGATTGGTTGGTACATACAGTTGTAACCGGGGGAATGAAGGAACAGAGAGAGAGAGAGAATCACCATGCTGCAGTGGCTCAAAGACCCAATGAGAGGCCTGACCAGTAAAGTTGGATGGATAAAAAATCGAAGCTACTGTATGCATTACAAATAATCGTTTCAATGGATTCTAGAAAAGCAATCAGGTTGCACACGCTTACTGAGCGTGTAGGTAAACTGTAGACAATACAGGAACATGCTTAGAATATCGGATGAGTGATCCCCATCTTCACAAGGACGCCAGCCAGGAAGTGAAGAGGGACAAACGGTTTCATGACTTTCATTCCCTTCGGACATGCGTCACCCTACACGGTCAATGAAGGACGAGACGGCCATGGTGAAGTCAAAAAGGTGGAACCGATTTGAAATGCAATTTTCACTGCAGCACTGGCCAAGAATTACCGCGAGAATTCACTTAATGTGTCTCGTAACCGTTGCCTCTCCGCGGCCCCAAAATGAGACCCTGCCTACAAACTGGCCCTCCTCTTGTTGCCAACCTCTCAGCTCGCGAAATGGAGTGTTACAACAACGGACCATTCCACCCTTCAATTCTACGTTACCTATGAGCTATATTTCCTCGGCAAGTATTCATCATCGTTCGTCCCGCTTCCACCGTAGAAACAGGTTTAGAAGGCCAAGAGTAAAGCTTCACCTTCATGGTGCATGTAACAATGTAAAACCCTGCATCAAGTATTCAAAGTATTGCTTCAGAAGTGAATCGCTGTTTCCCTTTTTCCCTCTGAACATCAGGTGAGCCCCTGAAGCGATCCCATTCACAAGTGTGGAAAATCGTTTCCAAGGAATCCACTCAGGCCTTGACCTCGATGGTAGAACTGAATCGCGATGCTCTTCAAATATAGGGTGGATTTTTGAACAGAGAACTATCCGATAATACAGCTTTATTCTGGGGAAAATACATATTTCCTGGAAATAAAGCAGCATTATCGGATAGCATATCGGTTCTCTGTTCAAAAATCCACCCTTAGGCTTACGTGGGTAGGAGGTCATTGGAGTGTAAAGCGTAAATTCTGTAACAGGGCACTCTCCTTATGCAATCAGTTCGTTCTTTCTTGCTCCCGGTAATTGAAATCCTGAAATGACACCCCCAGCGCAAGACGAGTTCGTGAGTACCTGCGTTTGAGTCGGTTTAGTCGTTATGGCTGAACGGTGAACTGCATGGAGCGTCACCAGCAGAGTTGCAAGGAGCATATCCTCAACCGCGCACTCTCATCCTCCGAAAGTACTGGGAAAAATAGATGGCACAATCATGGCAAACTCGCGGGGTCTTGGGGTTTGGAAGGGATTCTACCGATTTCGGAGTTCTTGCGGGGCCATGAACGTGAGTTTTTTTTTTAGGGTGGGGAACCGTATGGGGAAAGGCTATGTACCGCGACGGTTCATACTGCAGCTCTCTATCGAGCTTTTTGTTAAACACGTGATAAAAAGTGAGAATGACCTACTGCCCATCGAAGAGTCGAATAAAATGCGCGTTTTGTCGATTTGTCTATGCCCTCTTTGAATCTCGATTATTCTTGAAGATCACAAAGATTCGGAAATTTCCTATGAGATTCCAATTATGAGAGCGCTTCGACGAAGGTACGAAAGGACATGGCATGCTCGAGAACGGCAATGGGATCGATGTGTTTGCTGCTTCCAGTGTCGATTTCTCTGCGCATCGGGTCCTCCCAGAGGACGGTCTAAATTTTCGGGTGTCGCGAAATCGCTCGACGATCGGCTGTTCATCGATCGACCACTGCGACGAGCCAACACGAAGTTTATTGCCGAAATGGCGATTTTGGGATCCGCGTTTCAACGAACGCTGTCGTCGTCGGAAGAATCCCGACCCTTCATCCACTCCTGGTCCACGATCGCGTTCAATTTCATTCTCTTCGCGGGGACCGGTTCCAGGATCGACAGGACGAGAGCCCTGGCCGGTTGCGAGAAGGCGGCGAGGACCCGATCCGGAAACTTCCACGTCCGACTCTCCTGCTCCCGGAGGAGCTTCTTCGGGTTCTTGTTCCTGAACGGCATGAGCTGACACATCATGACGTAGAGGATGACGCCCAGGGACCAGACATCAGACACGAGAGGGTCGTATGGCCGGCCGCGGAGGATCTCCGGTGCACAGTAAGCCCGGGACCCACAGTAGGTGGCGCTCTTTTCCTTCTTCCCCGTGTACGATCTGACGGGGCGAGCGAAGCCAAAATCCGCTATCTTCACGTCGTTGCTTTCGGTCAACAAGACGTTCTCGCATTTGAGATCCCGATGAGCCCATCCGTGGCCGTGCAAATAATGCACTCCGGATGCCAGCTGTCGAAACCACCTCTGCACCCTCCGCTCGGGGATGTTAGAAGTTTTCTTGACGTAGGCCAACAAAGTACCGTTGGACGCGTACTCCATGAACACGTAGACCTTGCTCCTCCTCGACAGGATGCTGTGAGTGACGACGACGTGCGGGTGGTCGATCCACCGCACGATCTCCAGTTCCCGAGGGAAGAACTTCTCCATGAAATCCTCCTTGAGCTTCTTGACGTCGATGACCTTACAGGCGAGTTTCTCGACGCGTCCGTCGTATCGTCGGTAGGAAGCCGTGCGGACCTCTCCGAACGCCCCTTTCCCCAGCAGGCTCCCAATCTTGTAGCCTCTCCCGGCGAGGATCGCCGCTTCGGCCAGTTCCTCCTTTTCGTCGGCTGTTAATTCCTCTTCCAACGAGTTCATCCCTTCCTTTCACCGCTCGTCCAGTCGGGCCTGCCTATGCGTACACGTGAGGTTCGTTTAGCTTTTATGCTCCCGGAAGCTCGCCGAACGAGTCGCGGAAATCAATCAAGTTTATGCATGGATCGACTTAATCTTTTCAGTCACGTATTCATCAGTATTTATAATTTTACACTAAATGCAATTTAAATACAGTGGGCCCTCGATATCCGTCGACTTCCCAATCCGTCGTTTCTCATATCCGTCATGTCGCCACTTGTCTCAACTAGTTTAATGCTCAAGTGTATGACTTCCCGGGAACGAATTATCATTATAACATGCGATTGCGAGTGTATTGCTCCGTATCCGTAGTTTCCTTATCCTTCGCACTTTTAAGAAACCAATTAACGACGGATATTGAGGGCCCACTGTATATATATATATATTCGTTCTTTATTAAACTAGGACTCAACATTATATATATATATATATATATATATATTAATTTTAGGTAAAATCCCTGAGGGCACTTTTTTTCGCACAAGGCGCATTTTCCGGAATCTTTTCTGATCCAATGAAAGAGAGAACTAAAGAAAGTTGAAACTTTGTTCAGGAGTTTCTTCGATCGCTGAGTGCAGGTCCTATTTTTTCGAAAATGACCTCGAATGGCAGATTATGAAGAGGTTAGGCGCAAACAAGAAACAATCGAGTAATTATTTCGATGAAAATATCGTTCGTTCTCTCTCGACACAAATTTCGACTTTTAGCACGTTTTTGCAACTTTTGAAATAAATTAATGAATGAATCACTATCAGGGCCGTATCTAGGATTTCATTTCGGGGGGGGGGGGGGGGGAATATATATATATATATATATATATATATATATATATATGGATTAATGAAATGCTGCAGTATTACTGAACTTGACTGGGGAGTCCAAACAGGTCGATCCATGCGCAGCACACCCGTTCGTGACAAAGCCATGCCATCGTAATTCTGATGCATGAAGCCTCATGAGAAAACATGGAATTTGAGGAATCCTTGGAAAGTGGAATACAAGAGATAGACGAAGAGGACTGTCTCCATATCGAGGCAGTCGCTGTCAAGGATACGGCGAGGGAGACTGTTTCAGTCCGGAACGGGGACGCTACTCCAAAACATTGATTCTCACTGCGGGGGACGAGCGTTTCCTTGATATGCACGAAATAGCTCCGCGGGACACCCTCTCTAATTCACGCCATTCCTGCATGCCACCCGTAGCGTTCCGGAGGGAAAACGCAGGAACCCTTCATATCCACGATCCCCTCCGACTGAAATCTCATCCGTCATCTGTAGCGGACAAGATGCACTTGAACGTCGGAAGCGTCGGTAGGAGATAACCGATCGCTCCATCTACGTGAGAGGGGATTTTCAAGAGGATTTCTGAGTGCGCAAGCAGTTGAAGAGGATTTCTGCGAATTGCGATTACCGCATACAAATCCGTATCCATAATTTTTTCCTGCAGATTACGTCTCTTGCTACGTCCCAGCATGTCATCTTTTTGCCTCTAATAATTCATTCCGTAATGTCATAACGTAATTTATATTTTTAGGTTTATCAAACTTTTCTAACAAATATTCGCTGTTACAGTAAATAGGACGACTTTTTAAAATCCCGGTTACCGACAACGGATCCACCTTCCATCCATGTCGTTGATGAACCCACCAAGCTGAGATGCAGCTAGATATATAAGGCACTGGCAAGGAATAGTGATATGGCCAGCTGCTCTGGCGCTACCCTGTTACCAGTGTTATCTACTGTCTGACTTTGAGATTTAAAAACTAGTGAGTACACCTCTGCTAGCGCAGCATGGGCTCTCGAGATGAACTCACTTGGAGACCTGCCCATGCGCATGCTCCGTGGAATCGTTTCAGAAGGAAAAACTCCTCAGGAGACGTGCCGTCGTAACTCGAGTAAACTCTACCCAAACAGCATGTTTATGTTAATTTTACGTAAAATGAATGTAAATTTTTTGTCCATTTTATATCATTTTTACGCAAACCATTGTCAAGAAAATGTCAACATGTTTGCAGAAATGTCACCTCTGCTTACCTGCTGTAAAATACAGATACGTCTGGAAGCAAGTAAATTCATGGAATCCTAGGGATACTCCAAGGCCCCATTGTTGGCNACCATTGTCAAGAAAATGTCAACATGTTTGCAGAAATGTCACCTCTGCTTACCTGCTGTAAAATACAGATACGTCTGGAAGCAAGTAAATTCATGGAATCCTAGGGATACTCCAAGGCCCCATTGTTGGCCACCCAGTCCAAGTAACTCCCTGCATACAAGCTGTGACGAAAAGAAAAAGAATGCACATGTCTCGTCTGACGAGGATGGATTGGAAAGGAAAGAAGGAAAAGGGATTTCCTAACATGATTTTGTCATATCCAAGTGGCCGGAGATAGTTGATGGCGACCCGTGCCCTTCGACCGGATCGGCATGTAATGATCACACCTTGACCGGGGGGATCAGGTCTTGCGAAGCCATACGTCTCTTGGAAATCCTTATCCTCCAGACGCCAAGCTTCCTTTAATTCGTGCACTGCATTGGGAGGGGAGAGAGACTTCCCAAGATAATATGTTTCCCTGTATAGAATGCCTCTGGGAATGCTGCCAGCTGGGATCCCTTGGATTCAGATCCAACTACGCAATATTCCTTCATGGTACAAATAAAATGGAGAGGGAACTCACACGGCAGAACATATGAAGTGGGAATCTTGCCAAATTTCATGACTTCTGTGACATTTCGGACGTCTATGAGCAGTACACGCCGGCTCTCCACGGCCATTCGCAGCCCATCATACGTAATGGCTAAGGGACATTGAATGAGTTCCATAACCAAAAAATAAGCTTTTACTAGGATCATTGCAAGAGAGAATGATGCATAGGCGCATTGATGAGCATGCAATGGTTTGACCTGAAGATTTGTCACATGTCTAGGAGTCCGTCACACCGCCTGTTGCTAGCAGCTATTGTTCCTATTTTTGCAGTCAAGATTGTATGCATACTAATTGAAATATACGCATAATGTTGAAATACCCAGGAAAGTTTCGTATTGAAGTCCAAATTAGAAAGGGAAGGGTCATTTCATTTCCTTTTGAGTCCAGTGGAAGGACTATGACCGTTTAACATCGCGCGGGAATTTTTTTTCCAGCTATGCTATGGTATAGCTAGAAGTCAACGACGTGAATATCGCTCAAGTACCTGTGAAGCCATCCTCGGTTTGATAGAGCGGAGTTCCGGCTTGTCGAGGCCAGACGGAGGAGGCGATGAACACCACGAGGCCGAACATGCAAACGAAGAACGTAGTAGCCGTCATTTCCGATCGGAGAAAGCCGCCGTATTCACGGATTCAAACCGAGAGATACACTCGGTCTCCTTGCATGGGAATGAATGACATCACGTCCGCCCTTGGATTTCCTTCGCCGGCTCGCGTGCGAGGACGTGAATGGATGAATCATATGCGCCGATGCACTCCATAAGCAAACAGAGCCAATCCCATCTGTCTCGAGGTTCTTCACTCTCTGCAACATGGGGGAATTCCGTGGATGGCGTTGACATTCACTTTTCACTTGCACACCTGTGTCTAAATTGGGTAAGCCTAATCCTGCAGTAACGCATCTTTCAAGGAAAGCTGGCACCAGTGCAGTATCCTATCCTGCTTAGTTCTGATCCCTAGAATGGGAAGGAAAATCCCCCTTTCGTGCTTGGTTGTGCAGAGGGTAGCATTAGCCCCTCGAAGAAATTATGTTCACGTTTGGGAAGGAGTGCTACAGAAAGAAAAAGGACCCAGAAAAAGAAAGAGGACAGTGAAGGCGAGCAGACATTCCTTTTTTTTCTTTAGCATCGAAAGAACGACTTCATTTAGAAATTACTTCGATGAGCGAAACTAAGGAAGAAGCGAGATAGTGAATATGATGCATCAAATCTGCAGCTTCGTCCCTTAGCAGAGATATAATAAATTAAGTCCTACCCAGATGTGACTTCTCTTTGCAATTCCCCCGCAAGAAACAAGCTCGGGAGACAATGAAGTGACAAGCAACAGATCCTTCCTGTCTAATACCGATCTAATTTCATTACCTCTTGTATGGGAATGAGATTAATCCAGCTGAACCGGATCCCAATGGGCCCATTCATGAAATTAGATTCTGTTTGCCCAACCTCGCATGTGACACCCGAGGGGCAAGAGGAAAAGAGCGAATCTGCCTGTTTCACGATCTCTTCCTTGTCCAACCCCCACGCATACACTCTACATCTTACGGATACAAAAAGATTCTCATGAGAATTTCTACAAGAGAGAATCCCGGTTCGTATGCGTTGGAATGGTTAAATTCATGAGCGGCATGAATCATCGACGTGATCTACCCCGATTGAAATTGAAAATGGTCTCTTTCCATCCGAAAGACTGTCGTCCTTTTATCGAACGATGTTCTTTTTATCGGATGGTGTCCTTTTATGCATGCTCAACTGATAACTTCCAGTTAGATTTCCGTCGCGGAGGGAGAAGACCTTGGAGTCATCTGTGTAGTAGCTAGTAGAATTGGATGATCTTAGTTGCTCCGTGGTATTTGGCCTTCGTTTCAGATTCGTACCGTTACTGCTAAGGGCTTACGTGGTTAACGAGGGTTAAAGAGGGTGGGAGGGCATCGGGGACAATCTGCCCCGGGCCTCGCGTACAAGGGGTCCTAAGGGGCCTCCAGTTTAGTCTTGCCCCGGGCCTTTGGAAACCTTTGGGCGGGCCTGGGCATGACGACAGAGAGCAAGAATTACATGGAGAAAAGGCGAATTATTATTATTATTATTATAGCCAGAGGACTGTTTGCTGGCGTGAAATCTAGATCAGAAGAAATAGAGAAGAAAGGGAAGGTTGATTTAATCTGCTTTCCTTCTTTCCCCTTGTCTGGACACGAATACCTCGAGGGGGAATGGGGACCTTCTCATTCTCTGATTCTGTTCGCCTCAGGTTTTTCCAAAACAGTCCAATCAGAAACAGTTTGGTTTATCTGCGCTCATTGAGGATCACGGTAATGCTGTAAATTGTTGGACCGATGGGAAGAACACTACATACTGCATGGAGCTGTGAAGAATTGAGTACGCCGGAAATCCTGTGGCGGCGTGTTCAATCGCGTCCACTGACGTCATGAGTGTCAGATAGATCTCAACTAATAAAAATAATAGGCTTCACGGCCTCGAGCGAATCGGTGCGCGAGGTTAAGAGCCATGAAGTCAAAAACTTAAAATACCTCCTAACGTACAGTACTGTACACTGCCTGCAATAAATAAAAAAGGAACACTGAGAACAAGCGATGCTGCAGCCACTAAACTTTGGCCATTTATTTGAGACATCGAGCAAATTATGAATCACTCTCCGATATCTGACATCACAGTGACGCGATACAATCCCCCGGAAAAAATGTACTGTGTATTTTTTCGGGGGGGAATGTTTTTCTAGGGGTAAAAATACTGTATACCGGGACACCGGCAGTGTACTTGCATAAAAATCATGAGAATCCGCAATTAGCATCATCCAGGAAACATTACAACGGGAAGGTGAACCCATTTTCGTTTCCTATAGGCTCATTCGGATTCTAAGCCAAAGCACCCACCAGAGATGGCTCGTAAGTTGCAGCTACGATAAGGCGCCATCTTACTTCGGTTGTGGGAACCTTGTTTGTTCGAGTAGCTGTCAGATGGCTAGCCAGCTGGTAATTTATTCTACGAGTATGTTGTAGTCTTTCTCCTATGACTCTTGACCTCGTGCACCGATTGGGTCAAACATATGAAACTTTTTATTCTACTAGTCGAAATCTGTCTAATGCGCTCTGAAATTGGTGGACGCGAACGGACACTCTTGGGCACATTCCTTGTCAGATGGTGAAGAAACGATAAATAAATGGAAAAGGATACGAATGCCCTTGGAGGAACAAGCCGGGTCGGCTCAGCGGCTTCCGCTTCCTCGTATGCATTTTTCATGAAACGATTTTCGTGTTTCGGAACATACCTTGGATGCCAAAGAGATTTATCCAGCTGTCGTACCCCTTCCGGGACGCATTGCTGCTCTCTTTCTCTTCCTGGTATTTTCGTAGTCACTCTTCACTGTCGGAATGATGACCTTTCAGGCCGAGCAGAAATCATGAGAGCGATCGGTCGTGTCAGGCCATCGCTGACACAGAAACGTGAAGGCAAATTTTGCATCGAGAAGAGGCGATTCGGAGTCAACAACGTGTCTCGAGAAGTGGAGTTGCAGTGGCATGACCTGACGTGAAATGTACCTTCCTCATGCCTATGGGCCGTGGTATCCCTGACAAAGAAAGCGATTTAAACCAAGTCGTTCTTGGATGACCCAGTCGAAGAGTGTACCAGGGACACGGCCAACGGACTTCGCCATCTCGTCATTGCGAGCATCCCAAATGAGCCGAATCTCGAACGTGACGCATAAACCTGTATGCTTCAAGGATTCTTCTTGTCCGTGAGAACTCGGTTTCTCTTCGAAGTGAAATATGCGTTCTGTCGAGATCCTTATTTGGATATGGATCCCACGTTTCGTAGAAGCGAGGCTTGAGGTGGCCTATCTCTCTTTCACTGCTGCCCTCAAAACCATGATGATCCCATCATGGTCGTTCCGTGCGTCTGACTTACCTCTCACTTCTCGGTAGAGTCGAGGCACGCTTCTCCCGGGGATTCGGCCTCGAGAACCCGGAAAAGTTTCCCCGTCTGTCCTCTCCGACTCTGCCGTGACTGTGCTTCTCTTTTCTGTCGTCGTTTCTTTTCTTCTTCCAGCAACGAGCTTCCTGATCTCTCGAGGCTTTCTCACGCAGATCGGGAGAAATCAGTGTCTCTACATCCGCTTTTCTTTGAATATGACCATCTAAATTAGGAATATGAGATAATCCAAGATTCTATCGCTATAACATGCCATCCTGGGTGCTATTTCCCCCCTCCCTGTCTTTCTACAATTGCGAAAAAATAATCAACTTTCAGTTCTTCAGAATCTCTGCAATGGCGCCTGAGGACCGAATTCTGAAAACTCATTTAAGCGAGATAAAGAGACCTTTAAGCTATAGAGCTCTTTTCCCCCCATTGAAGTCCATGTATTACTAAAGGACCGTTAACTAAAGGACGTTTCAGCATTCAGGCCTAAGGATCTAACCCCCTCTTTTAGGGGGAAAAAAAAAGATAATCGCGCCCTGACACCGGAATTCCCTCTGCAGTTAATACAGTCACTTCGCAATGGTGCTTCTTAATGTAAGTCACGCATGCTAACGTATGCCACAGCGTATATTCTCCGTCATCGATCACGTACAATCAACCTTGTCAGTGAAAAGGACAATGAATATCATATACCATTGTGCTTGGCATTCATTGACAACGAAAAGGCATTCTATTTCCATCCAGAGAGAGGCTGTCACGCGAGCTCTTGAGAACCAAGGTCAAAGGAAAGTCACGTGGAAACCACCGAGGAGATCGATCAGAAATGAAATGTCGCTCTGACATTGCTTGCCGGGAACGAGAAAATCGACACAATCTAAAAATTTGAACAAGAGCCATAAATGTGAGTGGAGAGGGACTAAACCGTCGGATTCCCCCGACGGCATCGTTCTCGTGTCGACGACTCAATTCGAGACGTGATCGATCGAATACATGAAGGACTGAATCTTAACTTTAATGGGATGGAAAGCACTTGCAACGAATTCGCCCTGCTGATAACATCGATGTAGGCGGCACTGACGAAAAGAAATGGCAGAATTCGAGTACCTCGCACAACTTTTCGAAATGAACGGCGACTCCAGCGATGAAATCGATAGGAGGACGAGAGGCAGATGGGTGCAAGACGGGCTCAAGCCTCCCGCGCCGATAAAGGATGAATTTAAAAAATGTAACCGAAATGTAATGTCCCTTTTATTTGGTTTGTTACCGGTAATTTCTCATTTTATAAACACAGCCCAGTTAGCACTGAAGGAATTTGTCTCGTCGAACATTATTTTAGTAGTTATGATGAAGGCAGAAACGGTGAATCTATAAAAACTAGGGCTGTCACGATAGCAGTTTTCAAAACATCGATGCATCAACCTAAACTATCGATAGTGTATCGATGCATCGGGGGGGTTGCGCCGGAGGATTCCATCTTTTCTCGCCACGATCGGAGCGCGGACTTCTATCCGGCTTCCATAATCTCACGCTTGTGATCGGGGGTGCAAGGGGAATGCGTGACCTTCGCAAAGAATAATGAAACCTACCA